GCTTTACATATCAGGCTCGTTCAAGTCCTCGGTGATACACACACAGTTCAACTCACTCGTCAGAATCCTCGGCAATCCTCGGCAAACTTCGACAATTGGTTGAACCGGCTCAATCGGTTCTTTTTGAGTCGGACGTGCTACTTCGGCTGTGCGTCCTGCATCATCAACCCAGAACTAAAGTTTGATTCAGTTTGATTTGTGAACCGGCTCAACCGGTTACTTCCTGAGAACCGGCTCAGAAGAACGATTCGTTCAAGAACCGACCATCACTACTCTGTAACGCTTCATTAATCACGGTATATTTCCGAGTACATCAACAGTAAACAGTAAACAGCATCCAAATTTAATAAACTCTTTTAACTCATATGTCATATACCACAAGTTCTTTACATTTCTTAATGGCCTTATGATTACACACTCGTTAAACTTGATCGGCCGCCAAGTGCTGATATCATCTGAATGAAATAAACTCTTCACAAAATACAATAAAAATATACATAAAATATTAACATATAATCTGCACTTAGACATCGTTAGTCTTACCTGCAAAGTCAACAATAAACACCTGAATTGTACAGCACACTGAACAACTCTGGTGTGAATTTGTGTGTATAAGAACAGTCCTTTTGGCTTTACTATCGCCATCTACTGTCACACGCCTGTACATATACACTATATACACTAGGTCTAGGTGAAATAATTCACATAATTACTTTTTTTGTTTGTTTTGTTTGTTCTTCGTTTTGAACTTGATTTTGTTCTGAAAATTTAAAATAGGACTTGTTTATGAAAACTGGCCATTTTATGAAATTGTATTTCCTTGCAACATTTATAAATGGGATGTTGAGTCTTAGCCCAGTTCTGTAAAGTCAACTGCAGTCCGTTTTGTTTTGTTTTGTAATTCTTCAATTTGAACTTTATTTTGTGCTGACATTTTTAAATAATTAAAATGCCTTCAAAGTTGTGAACTGTATCTTTCAATAAAACTTTTAAGAAGTCATCCATCCATCCAACCTATTATCCAAACCTCGTTGTCCTTCTTAGGGTCGTGTGGAGCTGGATCCTAAGTCAGCATGTTGAGCCTTAAGTGGAGAAAAACCCTGGATAGATGGCCTGTCCATCATAAGGACTGCTCACACTCACAATGGGGCTCAACTTGGGGCTCAAAATTTACCCCTCACAAATTGAGCCAAGAGACCACTTTTTTTTTGAAAGCAGTTTATTTTATATCCAAAGTGATTATTCCAGAGGATGCAGCACATTCTGATGTACATTATTTAAGTTGGACCCATTACTGTCATGTGCTCACTTTAAACATACTGTAAGTAAACACTGGCTCACCCTGCTCTCCCCTGCTGGTAGATCACAAAAATGAAACTACAAATGAGCGGTATACAAATGTAGTATACAAATCTAATAACATTAAAGGGGTCATATGATGATGCTGCTAAAAAGAACATTATTTTGTGTATTATTTTGTATATAATTACTGATTATAATGACTTATACTGTCTTTTTACGCGTTGCGTTGCATTGCATCGTACCGTGTAAACATAAAACTCTGTCTACATTTGTGATCAGAGAAATGACAAACAACAAGTGCTACTCTACTGCCCAAAACTCGCGTTTGAATCATCAGTGGCAACGAAAAACACAGCGGCCTAGCATGAGGGGAAGCCCCGGCTTAGCGTGCGCTGAGGCCGGGATAGAGTGAGCTGAGGCAGAGTGAGCTGCTAGCGTAGCAGCTAGAGTGAGCTGAGGCTGGGCTCGCGTGAGCGTAAGCCCCGGCTTAGCGTGAGCTGAGGCTGGGATAGAGTGAGCTGAGGCGGCGGGGTCGTTAGTCTTTGCAACTTTACAGATCTTCTTTATGCACCAAGAGCTTGTAACACTCCAAAGAGAAAGGAAAAATTGAAATCGCATCATATGACCCCTTTAAGAAATGTTTCTTGAGCAGCAAATCAACATATTAGAATGATTTCTAAAGGATCTAAAGGACTAATGATGCGGAAAATTCAGCTTTGATCACAGGAATAAATTTACAATATATTACAATAGAACTATAATTTACAATATGACTGTTTTATTTTATTGTTGATCAGATGACCTTGGATAAGCATAAGTCTATGTTCTCAAACATTAAATATTTTACTGACCACAAACTTTTGAACAGTATAAGTTTAACATGTGACGGTAATTGTTAACAAACATCATGACACATTTTCCTAGAACACATAGCCATGTTCTAAAATAGATTTATGCTTGAAAGATTTGACCAGCCTGCTAACTATTGCTAATAAGGCCATGTTTTCCACGAGTGGATGGTATACTGTATAAGGGGACAGGAGACTATAGAGTCTAAAAATAGGTCTGCTGCATACTGGGTCACTGTATGAAGAACCTGAAACAGAAAGAGAGAGGCCAGAGTACAGACCGTCACAGAAAGCTTTTACACGTTAAGAACATGTTAGAGGGCTAATGCAAGAGA